CAGGTGAGCACTCACTGAAACACCTTGGATTCATCACATATTTGAGTTTGAAACTTTTATTTTTAAAACAGAGCCTCACTAAGTAACTTAGACCGGCCTAGAACTTGCTATGTGGTTCAGACTGGTGGCACACTCAAGGTCTTGCTGCATCAGCTTTTCAAGTGCTGGGGTGACAGGCTTGCGCCACTATTCCTGCTGCTACTGGCATTCAATGGGCTGAGTGGTATCTCATGTAATGAATGATGTTGAGTATCTTGTCACAGGCTGGTAGCCATTTCTACATCTTCATTGGTAAAGTGTCTATTCAGTATTTTCATGGTCGGTCATACTACATTCCAAGAGTTCATCATATTTTCTAGATTACATGTTCTTTTTTTTTTCTTTCGGTTTTTCGAGACAAGGTTTCTCTGTGTATCTTTGGAGCCTATCCTGGCACTCACTCTGGAGACCAGGCTGGCCTCCCGAGTGCTGGGATTAAAGGCATGCACCACCAACACCCGGCTTAGATTACATGTTCTTAAGCACATAATGTGGCCTGCAAATCGGCTATCTTTATCTCTCTTTAACGGTGTCTTTTCAAGTGATCAAGTGCAGTGCATCTGACTTTCCTTCAGTGGGTTAACATTCAAGGTCATGTCTGCGCACTCTTTCCCTAAACTATGGCCAAGACATCCCTCTACATGAATCTTTGAGTGACAGGGCCCCCAAGGAACAGCTTATTTGTGTCAATTTTACATCACATTTCATGACGCTCATTTCTGCTCCCCTACTAGACTCTAGGACTTTGCAGGAGTCTTGGACTAGAAATCACTGCCCCAGTCTAAGGGGCCTCTGGTAGTGGATCAGTATTTAACCCTAGTGTACGAATGGACTTTGGGAGCCCATTCCACTTAGAGGGATACTCTGTCAGCCTAGACACATGGGGGAGGGCCTAGGCCCTGCCCCAAATGATGTGACAGACTTTAATGATCCCCATGGAAGGCCTCACCCTTTCTATGGAACAGAAAGGGGATGGGATGGGGGTCAGTGGGGACACAGGAGGATAGGAGGGAGAGGCAACTGGGATTGATATATATAAAATAAGAGCATTGCTGGTTTTTAATCCCAACACTCAGGGGGCAAAGACAGGTGGATTTCTGTGAGTTTGAGGCCAGCCTGGTCTACAGAGCTAGTGCCAGGATAGGCTCTAAAGCTACACAGAGAAACCCTGGCTCGAAAAACCAAAAATTAAAAAAAATAAATAAAATAAAATGAGATTGTTTCTAATTTAAATCTAAAAAGTTAAAAGAAAAGAAAAGAAAAGAAAAGAAATCACTGCCTCTACTTCCACCCTACCCTGTCTTAATGAGCTACCTCCTACCATCCTCCAGATCCCAACCCAGATTGGTGCTTCCCATCTGAATGTCTAGGTCATGTGATTCCCAGTCAGAACACTCATCAAGTCTTTAACCATCTGTTTGACTTCTTCCCCACATGCCAATAGACATACGTCTTTTAGTGCTGTGTTCAGTACCAGAGAAATGTTTCCAAATACTGGGACATTTTTAAAGTACTGCTTTAAGTACTGGAACACAGCAGGTGTTCACAGGACATCTGTTGAATCAGTGACTTAAGTCATGCAGAGTTCCTACTCCTCACTGTCAGCAGCAGAGGCTGAGCAAGCTTGGGCACATTGGCTTTGCCTGTCTGTGAGCTCAGCTCCCTCCTTGCTAGGTATCTGAGCTTTTCACTACCCAGAATCCCTACCCTGTACAGCCTTACCTGCCCACAATCATGAGCTCCCTTTCAGATGCCCGTGGCCGGATGTGGGTCCACAAGTCCATGGTGAAGATGGTGCTGGCACTATTAAAGATGGAGGTGAGGGAGGACATGAGAGCGGCCACCATCACAGCCATCATGAGCCCACGGAGTCCTGGGGGACAGAAGGGAGGTCTATAGGCCTTGGGCTTTCTGATGGCAGCTTCTGCCTTCTCTTGTGACCCTGTCACCCCAGGCCTAAAGCTAGCTGATCCTGATGGCTCATCTCTGAGGTAGACCCTGTAGTGGGGTAGCCAGACAAGACTTTGTGGGTTTCCCAAATTCTGGCCTTTGGGGTGCCCATAGCTCTTATGTCTTGTCCCTACCTCAGATCAGCACTTAGACAGTATCTTCCTTTCTAAGTGGTCCAGGGGACTAAGGATAGGGGTGAGGGGACATTACCTGTGGGCAAAAGTTCCAGCACAAGTTTGGGATATGCGATGTCTGAACAGCCAGAGGGATTGCTACAGACCTGTTGGCAGATGTCGGGATGAGCACAGGCCACTTGATCTATGGAGGAAATGTAAGCTCAGAGTGAGGCAGACAGGCCCTGAGCCCAGACCTGGCTACAGTGTGCCAGAACCAGACTGGCACCACAAGAAGGGTCTGTGAGCTTATAGCTGAGAGAAATAGCAAAGAGCCTCAACTCCATATCCCTTCAGTTTCCTGAGCTCCTGCTGCCAGTCTGTAGAATGGGGGGATGCCATAACTATCTCATAACATTAGTGTGACTGTTGTCTGACACTACACTGCTAAGAAACTGCTTCATGGGGCTGGAGAGATGGCTCAGCAGTTAAGAGCACTGACTGTTCTTCCAGAGGTCCTGAGTTCAATTCCCAGCAACTACATGGTGGCTCACAGCCACCTTAAATGAGATCTGGTGCCCTCTGCTGGCATGCAGGCACAAGACTGTATACATAATAAATAAATAAATAAATAAATAAATAAAATCTTAAAAAAAGAAAAGAAAAGAAACTGCTTCATAAGATAAGAACAACAAGGCTGGAAAGATAGTTTGGTAGGCACTGACACACAGACACACACACACACTCCCACTCTACCCCCCAACACATACACAGTTCAGAAGTAAATGAAAGGCCAGCAAGCCTGATGACCTTAGTTCAATCCTAATGTGCCACAATATAGAAGGAGAGAACTGATTCCTGCAAGTTGTCCTCTGACCTCACACAGGTGACATGGCACACTTGCATGGATATGTGTGCACAGACACAGATACGCAGACTAAAATAATGATTAAAAAATAGGTCAATGGAGAAAAAGGAACATAGCAATTGGCTGAGATAATGCACAGGAAAACTTCAACACTCAAGTATTATCATACAGGACATAGTAAGAACACATCACCACTGTCATTGGGCCTCAAATAGAGCTGTGACACCCAATAACCAGTAGCGTCCTACCTCAGACTGCATCTTCTCAGCTGCCATCAGGGGGACAGTGATACACATCCGCAGTGAAGTCCCTCCATGATACTTTGTAAAAAATGCTTCACTTTTTTCTTCTTGGTGTTGGATCTAGAACTCAGGGCTTTGCACACACTGGGCACCCACTCTACTGCTACTGAGTGGCACCCCAGCCCCGTCAGTACTTTTAACCCCTCCTCTTCTGCCTCCCTCAGCTGCTCATGGGGTTCAGGTGCTGCTGCTCATTTTAGATTCAGGCTCACTGTGAGCTTCAAACCCTGAGTGTCTTTCCTTTTTTCCCCATCTTTTAAAAATATTTTATTTTTTAAATATTTTATTTCTTATATGTCCATGCATGTGTCTGTATGTGGGCTTATGCTCATGAATGCCAGTGTCCACAGAGGCCAGAAAGGGGCATTGGGTCCCCTGGAGCTGGAGTTACAGGCAGTTGTGAGCTGCCCATACTGGGTGATGGGAACTGAATTCAGGTCCTCTGGAAGTGTATTAAAAGGTCTTCACTAGTAGCCACCTCTCCAGCTCCCTCTTTCTGCATCTTTTTTTAGTTCTTTTCTCTCCCTAGTTGTTCTGATTTCTCCAGTGTAAAGTCACCTACCCATCCTGGTTCTCTAATTTGTCTCCACAGTTCACCTCTGCTGTGGCAAGGGTGTTATTTAGGTTCATGGGTTGTGGGGTTTGGGGTCCTTAGTGTGGCAATATTGGGAGGTGGTGGGCCCTTTAAGAGGTGGAGCTTAGTAGGAAGTCCTAAGATCACTGTGGATGTCCCTCAGGAGGGGTTAAGATTGGCTGCCTGGGAACCTGAGTTGAGCTCCCAGCATTCATGTGAAAAGCTTGGCTTGGTGCCAGGATAGGAGTGAGGGATTGGGAAGCACACAGGAGGATCCTTGGAGCTCACTGGCCAGCCATCCTAGCCAAATCAGTGAGCTCCAGGTTCACGGAGAAACTCTGCCTTTAATAAAAATAAAATAGCAATTGAGGAAGACACTCAGTATTAACTTTTGGCCACCACATGTCCATGCACACATATGTACGTGTGCCTGCACACACTCAAAACCACAAGCACCCATATGCCACATACATACACACCCCACCACTCAGAAAAATCAAGGGCTTTTGAGGAAACCAGCAAATAAGAAAACACTTAACATTCTGACTGCTGGAGCACTGAAACCTCCCATTACTGAAGTTCAAACTTGGGTGCCTCATTCTGTTCTGGGAAGCTCGCCTTCTCCACTAAATCTGAGAAGGAGCAGGGTCCTCTTACAGATATTTAATCATTAACTATAAAGGGCTTTTCCTACTAAGAATGCAACCTTCAATCATGGGACACGTGACTGGAGCAAAGTTTACAAATGATGTTCGGTGAAGAACGAAGTGTTCTTCCTACAGTATGTTCAGGGCCGGGGAAGTGATCTGTTGGTAAAGTGCTTGCTCCACAAGTGTGAGGACTGAGCTTGGGTGCCCAGCACCCAAGTAAGGCTGAGCACAATGCAGGTCTGTAATCAAAGTGCCAAGTAGGTGAAGATCCCTAGGGCTCGATGCCTCCCTAGTCCAGCTGAATCAGTGAGCTCCAGGGTCAGTAAGAGAGAGAGTGCTAGAGATCAACCATTGCTACACATGCAGGGGGAGAGGGAGAGGGAGAGGGAGAGGGAGAGAGAGAGAGAGAGAGAGAGAGAGAGAGAGATTGTTCACCTTGGTGAAATTAATTGACTCCAGCAGCCCTGTGATAATTAACATATCCTTCAATAACATTGTTACCTGTTAACCAACTATTTGTATATAATAAGCTTGCTTGACATAGACCTCATTCCCAGCCATCTTACAGACAAGAAAACAAAGGAAAGAGAGGGTAAGGGATGTATCCAAGGCCACATAGCTCCTGAGTGTCAGAGCTGAGACTCAGGCCCAGGCAGTGTAGAATAGACCTCACACACACACATCAGCAGCTGTCTATCCATGTAAAGTTGCCCTTCGAAGGTACACAGTCAATGTGGTCGCTTTAAACCATGTCTGTTCTTATCTGTCAGGCTTTACTCAACAGCCCTATGCTGTTCCATCAAGTCACCAGGGAGCCAAGATTTCAGGTCTGGCCCCACTCATGGCTTTTCCCAAGCTGTATGACCCCTACATGGAGGCATGACCTGTGATCCCATCTGAACTGGAGAGGCAAGCTTCTAGAATTCAACACCATGGTTGGTGTCCTCCTAAGTCCGCCTGATTAGATCTAGCTGTACCAGCTAATGAATGGTCATTCATCCTACTCTAGAATTCAACACCATGGTTGGTGTCCTCCTAAGTCCGCCTGATTAGACCTAGCTGTACCAGCTAATGAATGGTCATTCATCCTATTCTTTTTGTTTTGTTTTGTTTTGTTTTGTTTTCCAAGACAGGGTTTCTCTGTGTAGCCCTGGCTGTCCTGGAACTTGCTCTGCAGACCAGACTGGCCTTGAACTCACAGAAATCTGCCTGCCTCTGCCTAGAAAGGTGTGCCACCACTGCCTGGCCATCCTTTTTGTTTGCATCTATAACTGGGTGGTTCTCAACCTTCTTAATGCTATGGCCCTTTATAATACAGTTCCTCATGTTATGGTGATCCCCAACCATGAAATGATTTCATTTCTACCTCATAACTGTAACTTTGCTAATGTTATGATGTATGTTTGTTATAATGTAAATACCTAATATTCGACCCCTGGGTCTCGACCCTCAGGTTGAGAACCACTGATATAACATTTGTCGGGGTGAGGAACAGGGGAGGATGATTTCTACTCTATGAGCAGTGTGTGTGTGTGTGTGTGTGTGTGTGTGTGTGTGTGTGTGTGTGTGTGTGTGTTCCTGTAGAGTTATTTATGTCCCCCAGTATTTACTGTCACAGGAGGGGTTCCATCAGGCCAAAGTTACCAGAACACTGAACTCGAACTCTAAAGCATGGGCACATGACTTTGTCTTTCATGAATAACCATGTGGACCCACAGAACCTTAGACTAGTTTGTGGTTTGAAGAATACAGTGGAAGACTCCCAGTAAGCGTCTACTCCCTCATCTTGGGACACCAGTGGGTCTTGTCTGCTGAATCAGTGTTGGACAGCATCATGAAGTCAGTAGATGAATGGGGAGACCTCCATCCAGTTACCAGACCAGGACTCCTGTCCTGTTCTTGTGGGACAGTGAGTGACACATTTAGAACATGTTCTAGAGCCTGAGACTTGCAGACAGACAGATAACCTTTCCCCCTTCAGCCTTCTCACCTGGAAAGAGGACTCTGCTGACCATACCAGGGAAGACCATTAGGAAAAGAGGAAGCACTTTCAGGTATGCAGCCATCAGGGAACCTCCTTTGGCATGAGACAGGTTCTTGGCTGCCAGACTCCGCTGAACAATCACCTGGAGCAGAGTGAAGGTGGTTGGAAGCTGAGGACAGTTTGCTCACTGGCCCTGTGGAGCTTTTCAGTAGACCTGAGGTCTGGGTCTGCCTGCCTTGTTTGTAAGAAAGCATTCCTCCTCATCTTTACCCCTGCTCTAACTAGGATGGACATCACTGTCTCCACCCTATCTCTCAATATATACAGACCCTGTCAGTTATGGTACACTCCAGAATTAATCCACCTCTTTGGCTACAGAGTTAGGTAAAAGCATGTATTGAAGAGATCTCATTTGATTTCTCAGTAGAATAAGATATATATATATATATATATATATATATATATATATATTTATATATGGACTAGAGAGATGGCTTAGCAGTTAAGAATGCTGACTGCTTTTTTAGAGGAATCATGGTTGCTTCCTGTCACTCACATGGTGGCTCACAACCATCTGTAACTCTGGTCCCTGGGAATCTGACACCCTCTTCTCACTCCCACAGGTACACACATGGTGCAGAGACATACATCCTGGCAAACATAGGCATAAAATAAAAACAAATAAATGTTTAGAAGGGCAAAGGAAAGCAGTGCACTGCAAGGATAGCCTCCCGTGGGATTGCTAACTGTGGAGGTGACATGGACTGGCTCTCTGAGAATGAAGTGATCTCAGAAAAAGAAAGGGCTTCCAATGGTGTGGGATGCGTCCTTCCATTGAGCTCTGGCTACAGTATGAACTTTAGAGGTGGAGATAGCCAGACTGGGTTCAAATTCTATCTCCTCGCTGCCTGGCTGTGTGAACCTGAGCACCCAGTGTTACTTGTAGCCTTAGTATTCTCATTGACCAAATGGGACTAATACCAGCTGGTTTTGAAATTTAGTGAAGTAGGAGCAGTTGGAATACTCAGGATAGGGTAATTTAATGATAGTAATTTCTCATAGATAGTAGTTGCCATAATTTCTCTCTAGCTTTCCAGGGATGAAAGCTTTTTAAAAAACTGTCCTTTTGTGTTAAAAATGATTATTTTCATTATTAACTTGAGTCCTCACTCAATCAACATCCTTAGAGAGAAGAATGTCCAGAGGTGGGGTTCAATCCCCTCTGTACCATTCCCCTAAGTTTTGTTAGATTTCACAGTACACTGTGCACAAATATGAGGCAAAAGAGATGCCACTTTGAGACCTATTTCTCTGAAGAAGCTATGAGACTGAACCTCATCAGACAACAGCCAGAGGTTTCACAGTGTCAAGAATGCTGTTAAGTACAAAATGCTTCCTAAAGATAAAACTGCATAAATAGTGACAGAAATTGAGCCAGGGGACAAGGGTTGGGAGCCAAGGAATTCATCCATTCAGAACTCAAAAAATTCCTGGTCATGACTTGGACATTATCAGTCTATGACTATCAGATTCTAAAAAATGATCGGAATTGTAGCAATTGAGTGCTTCTTTTTGTTTTTATTTGTGTGTGTGTGTGTGTGTGTGTGTGTGTGTGTGTGTGTGTGTGTGTGTGTGTAGGTCAGAAAGCCATTTTGTTCAGGCCCCTCCTCAACCACACTTTTTCTTGCAACCCTATTTTAAATTGCATTCCCCTCCCTCTCAGACTTCTTTTGCTTCACTCTATTTTTTAAAAGTGACACCTTTAATGTCTCCTAGGAAATTCTTATTTGTCATCTCTCTGTCTCCCCCAGGCAGTAGCAGGGTAGCTCCATATTGGCTCCAGATTCCTCAAGTGCCCAGAGGCATGTCTGGGGTATCTGCTGAACAAATGATGTGCATTGCAAATGAAATGAAATGAAATTTGTCATCTCCTTCATATGACTGAGCTTATGACTGGCTCTCCCCAGACAAGCAGGGTATGTTAAGTACCCCCTTTTGCAAAAAATTAACAGGTCCAGATTCACCGTTTGCATTTACAAGAGTAAGAAGCAAAAGCAGACCGAGTAGAAGAGAGGCTGGAAGGAATGGAGGAGATGGGGGAACAGAGAAACAGCAAATTCACACACCGCTGAAGTCTGCCGGCCCCGGAATGAAGCATCAGGGCGTCAGTTAGCCAGCTCCTTACCTGATCTGTGCACCAGTACCAGAGAGATGGGATGGACATTCCAAACAGGATCCCAGGCCAAGGGAGGTCAGAGGTCACTGGGTCTCGGAAGATGTGGAAGGCATCTTCTCGGGGCAGGCCACAGCTGCTGTTCTCACTCCGGTTACTAGCCAGGGCTGAGAAGTATTGGTCCTTCAGGCCTTCCATCCCACCAACAGCTGCAAAACCTAGGATGCAGAGGAAGCCTGAAGTTGCTAGGAGCTATTGGGGCCTGCAGCAAGGTGGACAGATGATGGCCTAGTTGGAGCAGAACTATTGAGGAGCAGTGTCCCTTTAAGGGTTCTTAACCTCGGTCCTTTTTCTCTTGTGTCTTTGATAGCTACTGCAGATAGTGTCTCAGAATAATTTTTCTATGATATTTATTTATCTACAAGCAGAGACTTGGGTGTATGGGTGTATTCATCTGCACATGCCACAGTGTGTGTCACAGTTAGATCACAGGGCAACTTGTGGGAGTAAGTGTGAAGTCCAGGGTCAAGTCCAGGTCATCAGGCTTGGCAGCAAGTGTCTTTACCTACTGAATCATCTCACTGGCCTGACTACAAACTCTAAATGCATAATATAAAGCACAGAGGATTGTTTGTGTGTGGGTGTGTGTGTGTGTGTGTGTGTATTAGTGTGTGTGTGTGTGTGTGTGTGTGTATAAGTTTGTGTGTATGTATGTAAATGTATGTGTGTATATGTGTGTAGAAAGCAATCACAGGGCTACAAAAATGTGACACAGTAATTTATCTGCTCCATTAAATAACTGGTCTAATGATAAATAATAAAATAGTAGATCTTAAAATGGTTTGGTTGTGAAGCTGTGAACATACATACAAAGGTATCCAGATAGCAGTGGGCTGGGGAGATAGCTGAGAGGGTAAGTGCTTGCTTCACAAACATGAAGACCTGAGTTTGAATCCCAGCACCCACATAAAAGCTAGGCATGGTGGCTAGGCATGCCACTGGGTTGGCAAAAGAAGGGCTTGCTGATCATCTAGTCTAGTCAATAGTTGAGCTCCACATTCAGTGAGAAATCCTGTCTCAAAAGAAAAAAAAGGTAGAAAGAGATTGAGGAAGATACCTAACATCGACTTCTGGTCTCTACATGCATGTTCATGAACAAGCACACCCATAGACATGTGCACATAACACACACACACACACACACACACACACACACACCAGAAAGAACTTTAATGCAATTAAAAGAAACTTGGGATATCTTTTGCTATCAAAGTCCTGCAAATGTCACTGTTATTTGTGACCTACTTTTATAATTGGGAAATGTTAAATAGATGGATAAAATAGAGATAAAGTGTTTTTTATTTTATTTTTTTCCCATCCACATTCTCAGGCACCCTGATATGGTCCACCAGCCTGAGGCTAGGAAACTGTCTTAAGAAAGCATCCTTTTGCCTCAGAACTTCTCAGGTATCACAAGGTATCACTTCTAGTATCACAAGAGGTGGCCTTAAGCAAGCCACTTCCTGGCTTTGCTAGCAGCTTCCTCAGCTGTGAATGGGAACTGTGCAGCAGCCTCCTGAGGCCAGGCCAAGGAAAAGTGATGTAACCCTCATCTAGCACTGAGTCTGCCATAACAGTGAGCTGTTGCAAAAAATAAACTACTAGTAGCTGCAGGTCATTTGTTCTTCTTCAATTATTGGAAAGATTCAATACTGTTGGTTGTGGAGGGTGGAATTTGGAGGGGGGCTTGTTTTCATTTTGAGTTTCTATAGGAGAAAAGGCATTGATGTAAGTAAGCACATGGACAGGAAAGACACACAGCTTCAAGATTTCTGAAGACAGGTGCACAAAGAATACTGAGAAAAACAAAACCTAGCTATTGGATGTTAAATTTTTGTCCATCTTCACTACCCTGAAGGAAAGTTACTTTTATTTCTGAGTGGAGATATATATATATATATATATATATATATATATATATGAATAATGATATCTGGATACAGATGTGCACAGTATATAATGATCAAGTCAAGGTAATTAAACATGCCTATCATGGCAACCATTTGCTATCTCTTTGTATTGAGGATTATTCAATAGCCTTTCTCTTAGTTATTTTGAAATATGTATTATTGCTAACCATTATCAGCTTGAAAAACTATTTTGTGGTAGTAGTTGGGGCTGTGTTTTTTGTCTGTAACTTAAGACAGCCATATATAAAGCAAGTAAGGACTGGAGAGATGGCTTAGCAGTTAAGAGCACGTGCTCATCTTCAAGAGGTCCAGGGTTCCATACCTAGCACCCACGTAGAGGCTCACAATCATCTGTAACTCCAGTCCCAGGGGATCCAATGCCCTCTTCTGGCCTCAGCAGGTACTACACACACACAGGAGCAGGCATACATACAGGCACAACACCCAAATACTTAGAAGAAATTAAAATTTTTTAAGAAGCAAGTGAACTTGAACAGATAAATCAAAGCAGATAGAACAGCTTGGTCTAGAATTGGAGCAAGAGTCAGATCAAGCTTCCTAACGTTAACATGAGTCATTTGGTACAGATCATGAGCCAGATGAAAGGTTGGGGCCTGGGATTCCATCTGATTGTTGAAGTGAGGACCCTGATTCAGCAGATCTGGATAGGGGTTGGGGTTCCTTTTATGATCTCCAGGGTGACACTAAGGTTTTAGGCCATGGACCATACTCTGAGTAGCAACAGTGGAGGCACTATCAGGGTACCAAACGAAATTCCACTTTGATAAAGGATAAAAATTTTGAATTTTAGTCTTAATCTATTCAACTCCTTGCCAGGTCATTTTTCTACGTCTTTAAACAGCCAATCATATCAGTATCTGTAAATAATAACTTTATCTCTTTGATTTCAGTAGATATATCTTATATTTCATATGTCTTGAAGTAATGAAGCACTCCTTTTCCTGGGACAGCTCCTAGTGTCAAGTGTTCTGGCTTCTCCTTTAGTAATTTGACTATTAATGTTTCCTACTTTCTCTTGAATCAAATCGAATATCACTCTGTATATGAGCAAGGTATGGTGACTGTTTCTCACCCTGGCTATTTCCTGTCATCTGCCTGCTTCCTGGCTGTAATGATGTGAACTTGTGCTCCACAGGGCCCTTCCCACAATAACAGACTGACATCTCTGAAACTGTGAGCCAGATTCATGAGACAAATCTTTCCTTTTTCTAAGTTGTTCGTGTCAGGTATTCTAATACAGCCACAGGGAAGCTAATACAGACATTAAAGAAAAAAAAAAGAAAACTTCTGGAAAAGCAGACCCCATCATAGCTCAGGTAGTGCCTAAGGCATTAGAAGCTGAGGATGCACAAAAGGCAACCAGAGCAATCACTGAAAAATCTAAACTCCAGCTTAGCCCCTAACCAGACTGGCCCCTCCATTAGCAACTTGGCCAAAGAACTATGGTCTTCTCAAGCCCCTAACCAGACTGGCCCCTCCATTAGCAACTTGGCCAAAGAACTATACTCGTATCCAAAAATAAATTCAATTTACCCCAATTTTTACTATCTTATATATTATGTCCAACATTGAAGAAAATAATGAGGTACCCAAGAAAGAAAGAAAAATGACCTACCGTTATGAAATAAAGTGATAAAGGCAAACTGATAGGTGACCCAGATGTTACAACTGTCAGACAGGAAATGAAAAATAACTGATTAATAGGTTATAGGCTGTAGTGGGAATGTGGGAAATATTCATGACTAGATGGGTAGTCTCAGCAAAGAGATACTTGAGAAAGGGCTGAATGGGACTGGGGGCAGAGTGCAGTGGTAGAGAGTGTGCTTAGCAAGCATAAGAAGGTAGGTTTGCTCCCTGGTAATTGGAAAAGGAAAGAGGAGGAAGAAGAGGGAGGGAGGGAAGGAGGAAGGAGAAGATAAACAAGATATAATGGAGATGGTAACAGAGATGACAAATCTCTCCTCAGTCAACCCATCAACAGACAACACAGCAAAAGAAGCCATGAACAAGCTGGAAAATGGTTGAATAGAAATAACTCATACTGCAATACAAAAGAAAAGAGACCTCGAGATGGCGTGATATACAGAGTTTGGTGAGTTCCAAGAATAAAAATACTAGCCAGGTGCCGTGATGCATGCCTCTAATCCTAGCACTCAGGGACAGAGGCAGGAGGATCTCTGTGAGATGGAAACCAGCATGGTCTACATAGCAAACCCAGGACAGCCAGGACTATATAGAGAGACCTTGTCTCAAAAAACAAATAAACAAACAAACAAAACAACAACAAAACAAAACAAATGAGTAAAAGACACTGATGGGAGGTAGAGATGAATAAGAGAGGTAGGGAGACAAGAGGAGAGGTGAGAAATTATTCTCAAAATGGCCGTTAAATAACAATTCCCAGAATCTCAGGGGTGTCACTCAGGATAAACACAGCCCCCATTTGCATCTATTATATTAGAAATGCTGGGAATGAAAGGTAAAGGAAGGAGGAACGGAGGCTC